TGAGTGATTGCATATGGAATGGTCTCATATTTGAAGCTTGCTAAATTGAAATGAAAAAGATATTAATACAAATGAATTGATGATTCAACACAAGATGTGACTTGATGGCTTGAGATGGTGAAGATAGCAAGAAAAGGCTTCGAGGTACTAAGCAAGGGTGAAGGGCAAGCGACGGCTTGGCGGCCGAAGAACCTAGCTTGGGTGAAGAAGGAAGTACTTGCATTTAGTTGAGGTACTAGTCAAGCTATGATGGTCATATTAATGTGGATGATCAAATCACTATTGGAGTATTTGATGGAAGTGACTTGATGCATTTGGAGTTATTCATATTTGATGAATGGAATCAAGTCACGTGCTCAAGATGGCTTTGCTCAAGTGAAAAGATCAATATCAACATGTTGGCACCCTTACTTATGAAGATTGAAAGAGACGGCATTAATTCAAAAGAGGTCAACTCAAGCAGTATAAATTTGTTTTTTTCTTCTTTCTTTAATCTTGAGTTTAATAGGTATGTCGTACTATTAAGAGGGATGCATCATGTTGATAGATAATGTTTCATAAGTGCTCAAGTCAACCATGTGAGTTTTGAGTATTTAAGAGACAAAAGTGCTAACTTGTGTTTTGCTGGTCTGGCAATACAATGTGCCCAGCAACGATAAAATTCTTGTTGTTCTCGGGTTAGTTCGTCGGGAGTTCCGACGTGAGTCGGAAGTTCCGACGGTCGGGAGTTCCAATGTTTCGCGCTTAACTGACTTAGAGGGTTCACTGTCCTGTTCATACCGGACTTGTCCAGTATTCATATCGGAGAACGGCCAGAGGCCAACGGCTAGTTTTCAAAAGCCTTGAGGGTCGGGAGTTCCGGCATCAGTCAGGAGTTTCGACACCTCACAAACTTCAACTCAGTTACTTAGTTTTCAAATATGCTGAGGGTCGGGAGTTCCAACGTGGGCCGGAAGTTCCGACGGTCGAAAGTCCCGGCATTCATCGGGATTTCCGACGCCTCACAATTTCACTGTAGCTTAGTTACCGTTGGCGTAGTGTAAGTCATACCAGAAGTGTCCGGTATGACAACAGCTATATAACGACTAGTTTTTCAAAAGGATTATAAATACCCCCAAGCCTTCACCTTTGGAGGCTGCTGATTCTGCTGATACACATACACATTTTTGAGCCTTACCAACTCTCCCAACCCTCTTTTATTGAGTGATTGATCTAGAGGAGCAAGTTCGGGGCTGCTCTGCAGAAATCGCGTATACCGGACACGTCCGGTATTTCATACTTGTGGTGAAAATATTTATTCTCTGGTCTAACTTTATGTTGCAGGGTTGTAGCTTCTAGATATATTATTTATACCTTGCTTACTCCGTGGTTAACTTGTAAGGGGTGTTATTACTCTTAATTTGGTGTTTCCATTTTGAAAACTCTATTTTCTAATTGTTTCCGCATTTAAAGATGTTAATTTTTAGAAATGCCTAGTCACCCCGCCTCTAAGTGGCATCCTTGGTCCTTTCACTCAGGGACCAGATTAGTTTGGTGAATCAGGAACCTGCAGTTTTTGCAACTACAATTCTTGAGAACATTCTTTATGGCAAGCCTGATGCCACAATGGCGGAGCTTGAGGCTGCGGGCTACTTCAGCCAATGCCCATAGCTTCATTGCTCTTCTTCCTAGTGGCTACAACACTCATGTGGGTTCTAATTCTATTTATATTCTAAATGCTAATGACATCTGCACTTCATTTCTTGTTTTGCAATTCTTTTAAACACATTTGCAATTATTTTTCCTGTAAAAAATAGTCCAGTTGGTTTTGTCTTCTTTATCGCTATTTTATTTATGGTAGCTAATACTGACTTCTTGAATGCAAACCCTTTGCTGAACACAGGTGGGAGAGGGGACTTCAGCTCTCTGGTGGATAGAAGCAATGTATTGCCATTGCCATTGCTCGTGCATGCTGAAGAATCCAAAACTCCTGCTACTAGATGAGGCCACTAGTGCACTCGATGCCGGTTCAGAGAGTATCGTCGTTCAAGAAGCCCTTGATCGATTGATGGTCCGCAGGACGATTGTTGTGGTTTCCACAGGTTAACAACAATAAGGTGTGTTGACATGTGATTGTCGTGATCTAGGCAGCAAGCAGGCCAGAGGCCACAGCCGCAGCCCGCGGGACGCAGGCAGGCACTAGGCAGCAAAAGGCAGTAGTCCATAAGGTATATTTTTCATTTTCTGATATTTAGATTTGATTTTTTTACACATAACTAATTGTTCAAAATTTGATTAAGGATAAATTGCAGATTATTCAAAATGTCCAAAAGAACATTGCACACATATTTTTGTAGTTCAAGTGGTACATCAATAATTTCAGGCACTAATGACAACACAAATCAACCAAACATACGTAGAGTGGAGTTTAGTCAATCCGATGTAGTTGGTGATCCTAGAAATCGCAAACCAATTGAAGAATATGTACATGAAATTAGACACCAAGTAAGAAGGGCATATGCTTTGAGAGGTCCAACCCAACCTCATAATCTTACCTTTGTTTCTAAGTGGTCAATGGAGATCATTTCAACAAACTTGATTTGACAAGTTTGATTGGCTTGAGTATAGTGAGTGCAAGGATGCAGCTTATTGCGATGCTTATATTGTTATTTTTCTTTGATCCGGGAAAGCCTAAAAATTTTGGTAGTTCCGTGCTTGCGATGAAAGGTTATAATAATTAGAAAAAAGCTAAGGAAATTTTTAATCGTCACACTACTTGCAAGACTCACAATGATGCTAAGCTAAAGTGTGATAACTTTATGAACCAAAGAACAAATGCGGCTAGAAAAATTGATGCAATTAGCAAGGAGGAAGAGAAAAAATATGAGATTTGCTTGACATCTTTTTTGGATGTAGCAAGATTTCTCATAATGCAAGGTGATGCTTTCCGTGGACACAATGAGTCCTCTACTTCCAACAACAAGGGTACATTCAGAAAGATGGTTGATTGGTACAAAGATAAAGTTGAGATGGTTAAGGATGCATATGATAAAGGTGCAAAAAAATTGCACAATGATATCTCGACATTAATTCTTCCGGTGGCAATACCTTCGGTTGAGAGGATATTTTTCTGCTATGTCTATTGTAAAGACAGATTTGCGTAATAAAATCGGTGATGAACGGCTCGATGACTTAATGATATGCTACACTAAGAAGAAGATATTTAGAAGCATCAAGAATGACAAAATCATAAAACGATTTGAAGAGATGAAAACCCAGGATATGTTAGTGCCTCGGAACAATTTAGTGGTATGATATACGTTCTCGTCTACCTTCAAAACTTTGATCTTAAATACTTGAAATTTGTGTCACTAATTTTTTTTTCTTGTATATAGATTGCTTCTAATGATTCATGAAGAATATGGCAGCGTGAATGTGTCGTCATCTATCGATCTTTTGTTGGTTAGTTATAAAAAATGTATCTTTTACTTCTTCTTATGCGTTTTATGATGCACTTTCAATTGTTTATCTAAGTTGTCATGTAAAATGTTTAAAACTGCTATATGTTAGCTTTGTATGGGATATAATTAAGTTAAGTTTGTCTAGCTCTTTTTGACCTAGCCCTCCTATTTTTTTTTCTAGATCCGCCACTGCCAACACTAGCTGCTAGCAAGCTCACTAAGAGTTCAAGCAATACTGATGCGAAAATAAAAGGACATCAATTGAACGGCACGACTTTTGCCTCTACTAATGGTTGGCATACTATAACTATCTTCTCTTTCGTAGCATATATATCCTTGCACGGCAACTGGGTCTAAATTGAAACCAATGCGGTAATGCGTCCCTAAAAGGACACCCAACTCGATTGAATTTCTCAGTTCTAGACGAACATCAACTATCTCAAGATTATATGACTACTGAGTTCTGAGAGAGAGATTTAGGGCTTGTTTAGATGCAAAAAATTTTGCAAAATGAGTACTGTAGCGTTTTCGTTGTTATTTGACAAATAGTGTACAATCATAGTCTAATTAGGCTTAAAAGATTCGTCTCGTGGATTTCGTCTAAACTGTGTAATTAGTTTTATTTTTTATTTATATTTAATGCTTCATGCATGCGTCCAAAGATTCGATGTGACGGGGAATGTGAAAAATTTTGCAAAATTTTTTGCAAACTAAACTGGACCTTATTTGTTTTTTGAAACCTCGCAAGGACATCTGAGAGAGAAATTATGACGTGACGTGCTGCAGGTATCGCTTACAGCATTTCTCAATGACGTGGGTCAAACAATTCCTCGAACATTATATACAGAGCATAAAGGAAGCAAGGCTCAATACGAGGGGTTCATTGCGTTATCTTTCTATACTATTCCATGGGCCTCAATTCTGGCTTGCATAGTAGCGGGGCAGACAGGCTTAATAAATTTAGAAAAGTACTCAAATTGAGGCATCTGGTTTTATGTAGTGCAAGGCTTAAATTGGAGCAGACAGGCTTAAAATTCGAAAAGTACTCAAATTGAGGCATCTGGTTTTATGTAGTACAAGGCATAAATTGGGGCAGACAGGCTTAAAATTTGGAAAGTACTCAAATTGGGGCAGACAGGCTTAAATTTTGAGAAGTACAAGGCCTCAAATTTTTAGTAATGTACTGTCGCCTCAAATTCCCATAAAACCTTCAACGGAGCAAGGCATCGTCCGGTAGGGCATATTGGACCTGTGGAGGGCATTTCCGATCCAACCCGCGCGGCGCACAAGGAAACCAGCGAAGAACAACACAAAAACGCATGATCTACCGGCCATGGCAAAGTTACAGCATTCGTGTGACTCACCTACCTGCTCCTGCTCGCCAACACCCTCGCTTACCCAACTGCAGGGAGCCAGCCACGCGTGCCGGCACACAACTCGCGCATCTCCTCGCAGTCGTCCTCGCCAGCGAGTCGTCGTCTACAAATTAATAGCGGAACCGACGACGCATGCTCTCTCTCGATCGCGCCGCACCGGACGCGCACAGCCGGGCAACACACAATGTCGAGCGCCACGACGGCCGCTGAAGGGGACGATGACGAGGTCGTGCACGACTTCGCCCCGCTACTCCTGGTGTACAAGAGCGGCCGCCTGGAGCGGCCACTCGCGATGCCGCCGATCCCACCCGGCCGCGACGCCGCCACGGGCGTCGTGTCCAAGGACGTGGCCCTCTCGCCGCACTCCTTCGTGCGCCTGTACCTCCCGCCCGCCGCCGCCACGGCCGAGAGGAAGCTCCCCGTGGTCGTCTACTTCCACGGCGGCGGCTTCGTGATCGGATCGGCCGGGTCGGCCGCGTACCACCGATGCCTCAACGACCTCGCCGCCGCCTGCCCGGCCGTGGCCGTCTCCGTGGACTACCGCCTCGCGCCGGAGCACCCGGTCCCCGCCGCGTACGAGGACTCCCTCGCGGCGCTCAAGTGGGCGCTGTCGTCGTCGTCCGTGGCCGAGGCCGAGGCCGAGGCCGACCCGTGGCTCGCGAAGCACGGCGACCCCGCCCGCGTGTTCCTCGCCGGCGACAGCGCGGGAGGCAACATCTGCCACCACCTCGCCATGCACCCGGACATCCGAGACGACGCTGCTGGCCTCAAGCTCAAGGGCGTCGTGCTCATCCACCCCTGGTTCTGGGGCAAGGACCCCATCGGCGGGGAGCCGCGGAGCCCCTCGAAGCAACAGCAGCAGAAGGGCCTGTGGGAGTTCGTGTGCCCCGGCGCGGTGGACGGCGTGGACGACCCGCGGATGAACCCGACGGCGCCCGGCGCGCCGGGGCTGGAGAACCTGCCGTGCCGGAAGGTGATGGTGTGCGTGGCCGAGGGCGACGTCCTTCGGTGGCGTGGGAAGCTGTACGCGGAGGAGGCGGCGCGGGCCAGAAAGGACGCGGAGCTGTTCGAGTCCCAAGGAGTCGGGCATGTGTTCTACCTGCTGGAGCCCGCGCAAGAGAAGGCCAGGGAGCTGCTGGACAGGATCGCGGCGTTTGTCAGTACGGAGTGAGGAGGATGACGCGTTGGTGGTGGACCCGTGGACATCGTGTAGTTAGTGTGTGGTATATATATACGTACGTAGCGTTACGTACTGCTACTACATACACACGGTACACGCGAGCGGTGTGTGTTTTACGTACCCGGATTAGGATAAAAATGCACGTACGATGGAACGGCAAAAGAAATAAAAGACGGGTTAACGTGTGCATGTTACCAGAGGTATTACGACTGTGTTTAGTTCGTGAAATGAAAATTTTTGGATGTCACATCGGATGTTTCGGGGACGTCGGATGGGGTTTTCGGATACTAATAAAAAAATTAATTACATAGTTCGTCTGGAAACACTCCATGCATGTGTCGTAAAATTCGATGTGATAGTTTAGGGTGAAAATTTTTTGGAACTAAATCAGGCCTAGGTCACACTTACCATATCACACGGTTCACAGGACCGGTGACAGTGACATCACATCACATGCATACGAATTTACGAGCAGGCAGAACCCAGAGGCTGTGTCCTTGTGAAAGGATCGTAACCGTTATTAGCACTGAGAACGAAGTTACCAACTCCTGGACGCCACTGTGGGAACTGTACCAAGATTCGAGCACGGTGTCGTCCATGTATTTTTTGAGGTCTATATACAAGCTCAAAGTAAGTTCTAACTTCTACGTCAAACAATCCAAGTTTGAGTAAAATTAAACAAAGCGTCGTCATTAGAACTACATGAAAAGGAGTTTCATAGTTTAGTTTCTTTGATGTGCTAGATGCTATGATTGTTCTATATGAATTTTGCTAAAATTGGGGCCCATTTGACAAAACTTCTAGAGCGAAGTCTTTTTCGGAGGAGCCGAAGCCCCAAGTCCTATCAAACTAGCCTTTAGAATAGTTTAACTTAGAAGGTTACAATTACAATACCTTGACTTAAAACAAGCTCATAATAAATATTTATATTTGTAAACATGGAATTCAATAACAAAGCGAAAACCCATGTTAAATGGAATCTTTCTAGTAGTAGAGCCGATCCTTCAATAGCAAGACACTTGTGTTAACTTCGTTAGGGGGTGTTCGGGATTGTCCCACTCCATGTTTTTTAGTCAAACAGGTCCAACTCCAGTGCTCCACGTAGGCACGTAGCTCTGCTCCAAAAAAAAAAGATGAAGTTGTGAGAGCACCTAAAGTGATGCTCCACAAACTCTAGGCTTTTGTGGAGCTGCTCCCCAATATAATTTGCGGAGCAAAGTTCATGAAGCAGTCCCAAACACGCCAATCTCAAAACTTTTGGCCCAACTCTGAAATATAGGTATAGTGTATGTGCATATAGTGTACTCCCTCCGTCCCTAAAAAGAGTCGCTATGGAAATCACGCTGGCCAAACTTTCTCAACTTTGACTAGGTTTATAGAAAATGCGTGCAATATTTATATCTCCAAATAAGTTTATTACGAAATTATATTTAATAATCTACGTAATGATACTAATTATAGAAAATACGTGTAATATTTATATCTCCAAATACGTGCAACATTAATATTTTGTTAAATATATTTGGTCAATGTTAAAAGTTGTTGACTTTTCGAGAAGCGAGAATAACTTTTTTTTTTAGGACGAAGGGAGTACGTGTATATGTTTGTAAGGATGTAGTATGTTATATGTACATCCAGCAATAAAATGCAAATAACAACCAAATCAGAATATATACATTATTACAAGACAAACAATATCTAGTCTCAAACATTATATTGATATCGTTCGCTCGGGGCTGACAGCAGCCTGACATGGAAATGGAACCGACGAATTGAGGACATTCATGGCTCACCAGTCCCACGACAGCCGCCTACCCACCCAGCACATGCGTCGCCATGAAGGTCCATATCGCTTCTGAGCTTACAAGTACGTAGCGGTCACTGGAGAAAGTCTGAAGCCACGAAACAAACCAGCAGACACTCCGGCGAGTTGTCACCCTTGCACACACAATGCCGGGCGCCACGGGAACCAACGGCGACAACGAGGTAGTCCACGACTTCTCCCCGCTCCTCCTGGTTTACAAGAGCGGCCACCTCGAGCGGCCCCTCATCATGCCGTTCGACCTGCCCGGCCACGACGCCGCCACAGGCGTGGAGTCCAGGACGTGCCCCTCTCGCCCTCCACCTTCGTGCGGCTGTATCTCCCGCCCGAAGCCACCAGCTCAGGCGACGACGACGGTGAGAAGAAGAAGGCCACCAAGCTCCCCGTCGTCGTCTACTTCCACGGCGGCGGCTTCGTGATGGGTTCGGCGGGCTCCTGCGTGTACCACCGCTTCGTCAACGACCTCGTCGCCGCCTGCCCCGCCGTGGCCGTCTCTGTCGACTACCGCCTCGCGCCGGAGCACATGCTCCCCGCCGCGTACGAGGACTCCCTGGCGGCTCTCAAGTGGGTGCTCTCTGCAGCGGACACGTGGCTGGCGACGCACGGCGACCTCGCCCGCGTGTTCCTGGTCGGCGACAGCGCCGGCGGCAACATCTGCCACCACCTGGCCATGCACCCGAACGTCAAGCAGGGCGCGGCGGGCAGCCTGAAGGGCATCGTGCTCATCCACCCGTGGTTCTGGGGCAAGGAGCCCATCGGCGGGGAGAAGGAGCACCGGAGGCCCCGGGCGAAGCGCGCCGAGGCGGAGGTCCGCGGGAGGAAGAAGCACCTGTGGAGTTCGTGTGCCCCGGCGCGGTCGACGGCGTGGACGACCCCCGGATGAACCCGATGGCGCCGGGCGCGCCGGCGCTGGAGAGCCTGGCGTGCGAGAAGGTGATGGTATGCGTGGCCGAGGGAGACCACCTCCGGTGGCGCGGTAAGGCGTACGCGGACGCCGTGGCGCGGGCGAAGAAGGGTGGCGAGTCGCCGGCGGCGGCGGCGGTGGAGGTGTTGGAGTCGGAGGGGGTCGGTCACGTCTTCTTCCTGCTGGATCCCGAGATGGAGGAGGCCAAGGAGCTCCTCGGCAGGATCGCGGCGTTTGTCAGTGCGAAGTGAACCAGCTTCGAGCTGGAGGATGAAGATGCATGCATTGCATGCACGCCGGGCACGCCGCGTGCAGCCGACCATGCAGCAGTGCATGTACCGTACGTAACGTTAATAGAGACGGGCATGTGTTTCCCCATGGGTACGTGAGAACCAGTGAATCATACTAGCAGGAGTCGTTGGTCCGACACTTGAATGTAACCGCGTCGTACGTGTCTTGTGATGTGGTGAAGGTGAATACTACCACGCCCTGTCATGAATTCCATGGCTCGTTGTGTCGGCTACCTTAGAACGGGGTACCCCAAACAAACATTAAAATAAAGCTAGAAGGTAAGTCGTGGGCCCCTCACCTGCCACAACCGAGCCCTCCTCCACCTCGCCTCGAGCCTCGAGCAGGAGGTCTCGGAACAAACTCCGCCTCGCGCGAGGCTCCCCCGGGTAGGCCTCGGCAGGGGGCGCCGTCTCCGTCTCGCCCGAGGCTATCCAGGGAAGGCCTCGGCAGGGGTACATTCTCCGTATCGCGCGAGGCGTCTCGCGCAAGGCCTCGGCAAGGAACCTGATCTCCGTCTCGCGCGAGGCCTCATTCTCCGTGTCGCTCGAGGCCGGCTCGTCCGCGGTCCGTCGCCCCCCGCCTCGGCCGACCCTCCCAACAACTCGTCATGTCTCATTAATGCTTCAACCACTCCCGCAATCTTAGCCGGACGGTGGCTCAACGCCATAGGATGGCCGACGCGACCCGAGGTCGCATCAGCGCCATACCGGCCGGGACAGGGCACGACGGGGATTACCGGCCACTGTGTCCTACCACTGTGTCCACGATCAGCACCATACCGGCTGGGACAGGGTACGACGGGGATTACCGACCACTGTGTCCAAACGCTGTACCCATGATCGGCCGCCCGCTCAAGGCCTCGGCACTGTACACCGGGGCCTCGGCGATCTTGGGGTTCGTGCCTGCCGAGACCCCCCCACCGCAGTGCCAGCCTCGGCATCGACCAAGTCTCGGCCTCGCGCACAGTCCGTCCCACATGGCTTGCACGTTCACGCCAAGATCCAATCCGAGGCATTCCGGGGCTCCCACGACGCATGTGATCTGATGGGATAACCACGCCGCCCCAAAGATTTCAAGGATGGACCACCCGACGGCCACACCGCCACAGAACAAGCTACAGGGCCTGACACGCCGCCTCTCTTCACGGCGCCAGATAGTCAGCTCATATACCGCCCTAGTCCTCCCTTCATGCTATAAAAGGAGAGGACCTAGGTTGTTTTAAGGGGGGGAACACCTTGTAACACACAGGCACACTCCTGCCGCCGGAGAGCAACGTCTCAAGCGGCCCGCACGGCACCCTGCCGAGACCTAGGACCAGCTCCTTCTCTCCTTTAGCTTGTAACCCCCCTACTACGAGCACCTCGGTGCAAGGAATACAAGATCGATCTCTCAGACCGAAGTAGGGCCTCGATTGCTCGAACCAAAGATAAACCTTGTGTCTATTTGCATCACCATCCGGATCGGGAGCACGCAGAACAAATTCACTGGTTGGTTGAGGACCCCCGGTCCAAACACCGACGATTGGCGCCCGGTAGGGGCGCGCGTGTCGGTTTCGTCATCCCAAAGAAGTTCCGGATGGCGGACCACGTCGACCATTGCGTCTCGGCACTATGGTTTGGTTGGGAGCCTAGAGTTCATGTCTCTAGGGCATGAGTACGACATGGTGCTCCTCACCCTCGAGCCCCACCAACCAACGATGAAGTTACGCCCGGCAGCCTTTAGGCACAGGCGGCGTCCGGGCGGCCGCTCTCGCCGCTGCTTCGCCAAGCACGCAGACGAACAAAACCACCCCGACGCTTACGCTGCGAATCCGGGCGACACGCCACCCCGCCAATATCCTACGACCATTGTAGGCTGGCACGGGTCCCCGGTGGGGACCGTCTAGCCCGAGCTTGGACAAAGGAGACTTGCCTATGGCACGCGGCGATGCCCAGTCGTCCAGCTCCGCTCTACCACTCCTTGAAGAGCCGACCC